GTCCCTAGACTCCCAAGGCCAAACCCACAGGAGACCAGGGAGGGCACCAACAGGGTCACAGGAAGGAGCCGTGCCCCTGCCGTGCACAGAGTCACGGGTGCCAGAGCCCTCCCCGCACGCACCTGGGCTGGGCCTTGACCGTGAAGGTGTTGCTCCCATGCTGCTTCTCCAGGCTGACCAGCACGTCGTTGAGGTTCTGGTTGAGCTGAGGGAGAGACAGTGAGGAGGTGGGGGAACCGAGCAAAGGGTAGTAACTTATTTGTTCCTACAAGTTGGGAAACCGCCACCATTGCCTAACAGGGCACTCCTCGGGCCAAGGTCGCTTGAGAACACCTTCACGGTTAGAAAGGGCTGGTCTACATCCTCAGGCAGTCCTGCCCAGGCGAAGACCCGGACCCGCTCACAGCCTCCCCCGCATGCCCTCCTGCCCTCCCGGGCCTGGGCACTCCTGAAAGGCGCTATTCCACAGCACCCGGAGGAATCGCTGTGGCCTTGGGTGTGTGCTGAACCTGGCGGGGAAGGAGGAGCTCAGGCCGCCCCTGCCACGCCGCTGACTCAGCCCTTGGCCAGGGCGGAGTGTGGCACCTCAGAGGGGTCCCCAGGGCCTACCTTGCTCATCTCCTTGTGGAAGTTCTCCTCCAGGCCCGCGATGCTCTGGAACGTGTTGACATAGAAACCTACGCAGCTACAGGAGGGCCGAAGGATGGGGGCCAGGTGAACAGGCAGGTCAGGGCAGCAACTCAGAAACACGCCCACCCACAAGCGACCACACACCCTCATCAGAGACATGAAACCGAGAGGGCACAGGCACCGCAACACGTGGGCACTGCAGCATGTGGGCACCACAGCACGTGGGCACCGCGGCACGTAGGCACCGAAGCACACGGGCTGGACACCGCGCCCGGCCTCATCTGTTCCACAGGGATGGCAGCTCCTCCTGCAGATCCACATTCATCTCCTCAAACACCTTCTGGGCTTTGATGAGCTCCTACTCCGCCTGGGGAGCAGCACGTGTCATTCCCCTCTGCTGGGCGTCCGTCCCAGCCAGCCCAGCCCCGTGGCCAGTCCACCCACCTCCTGCCCACCCCTCCTGGCCAGCCAGGACCCTCAGGACATCAAGGAAAGGGAGGACCGGGCAGCCATTGCCAAAGAAAGGCCCAGGCGGCCGGGAGGGCAGTGAGCGGCGAGTAGGGCTCAACAAAAGGGACAAGACGGGGGCTGGGCGAGCTGGACACAGGGCATGCGCAGAGGCAGACCCCAGACCCAGCCAAGTGGGGACCCCGCCACTTCCACATGAACCCCCTCAGGCTAGGTGCCAGCCCTGCCGCTGACTTCAGGTTCTCAGGGCAGCATCTGTCACTGCCTTCCCCCCACCCCGCCCGACTCCTGCCCCTGAGGGCTCCCTCCCTGTTTCTGAGGGCCAGCTCCTGGCAGCCTCAGCCACCCGCCTTCACATCACCTCACAGGGGCCGCCCTTCTCGCCCCCGGTACCCACCAAGACCCGCTCTCCATGAGGACACAGCCACCACCCCAGCCCCCCAGGTGGCAATGGAGGGGACAGCAGTGAAGACAGCACCACGGCTTGTCTAGGGGACACCTC